TACAGTAATATGAATGGATAACAAGACACATAAGGATCTTTTGGTACAAAAATTAATAATGCAGGAATTAATAATACTGATATTAGTAATGCTGGGATTAATAGTGCAGCGAAGATTAGTAATAGAGAGATTTTTTTTATCAAGTGTTTGGTTCATTATTTCCACCTTATCTTGTGTTTGCATTAAAACTTTACAAAAAAAACATCTTTCCAATTATATCCTTGAATTATTATGCAATTGGTTAATGTAAATAATTGCGAGATAATATTTTTTTTATGTCCTTCTAATTACCTATGTAAAAAACATTTTTGTTGCCATGTTTGCCTTTTGTTTTTTACTTAAATTATTTGAGAATAAATAAGTGTCATCTTGATAAGTTGAACACTAACAAATGTCAATTTTCAATTTCAAAAAAGATAAACTATCAACTTTTAAAATTGAAAAGATGATAAACAATAGTAAAATTGAATAAATCATCTACATTTACACATAAAATTGTAAGTTGTGATTTTAATATGTATTCAATTTTATAAATTGTTCAAAATACAAATAATTAGAAAATCGCACAAACATATATATATATATATATACACACACACACACATATTAACAAACAACTCTCTCTAAATTATTTGTAAACTAATTTATTTAAATAAATTTTCTAGCACAATCATAAAAAATAAAATATTTTGAGGGATATTTTTGTCTTTAGTAGACTTATCCTATGGTATTATAACTCATGTATTACTAATACCTCCAAATGGAAGGTATTAGTAATACATCATATAAACCATGTAGGAGGTATAACTAATCCATGAATTAGTTATACATGGATCTAATTTCCTACCAAACATAATACTAAATAATATCATCCATAATACATGGACTATTTGTTTTAATGCGGCCTAACAAACGATCCCTATAGTGTTACCCTAATTTGTATCACAACCTCTTATCTAAAGGAATGTCATTGGTAAACGAAAATGTATTCTGTCGTACTAATTATCTTTCCCTGAATACTTATTCGGTCTAAATCTACCTCGCAAGAAACCATCTATCCCCAACTTCTCACAATTTCGCACTAGGACATTCGAACATCTCCTCTTCACATGTCCAAACCATCACAATTTCTCTTCCCGCATCTTATCCTTCACTAAAGTCATTCTTACCTTATCTCGAATATCCTCATTTACAATTCTTTCTCTATCCTCGTATGACTTTCAATTTTCGACCTGAGTATAGTGATCAATAATATCATTGATCTTTATGTGTCTTTTGCACAATCATTTTATGAGATGATATATAAATTTTTAAATCTGCAATTGCTTGAAAAAAATCCCCAGTTAAATCATCAGGTGAGATAAAATATAAAAGTGTACAATCGTCGTGCGATGATAGAATATGTGATATTTCAACTATAGAAACTTGATCAGAATTCGAGGATACTGCTTAGTTCTTTTGCTTCTTTCATCCTGTCGAATTATTCTCTTATATTCCTTCTAGGTCAGCCCCCATAAAGACTGTACTCGCAGATAGATAAAATTTCCCAAAAAAAGTATGAACCCATCAATAATTTTTTGTTTTGACAAAATAAAAAGTCCATCTTCATTTTAGTGCTTATCAATCACTCCAACAAATGTTTGAGATTTTTAGATTAACATGACCAGTATGGAGGTAATACTTTTACTTAAAATTTGTGTATCATCTAGCAAGGTATTTGTACCAAAATAAATGTGCAAACAAATGACAAAGTCTAATGAAACTATTCATCTTACAAGAATTCCGTGGTAGCCAAAGGCTACAAGCAACAATATCGAGTTAATGAACTTTGATAGTTATTTTTCTTTTTTCGTAATTTTATATTTGAAAGTATTTTTTTGAAAAATCAACTACATGTAATATACTTATGAAACATTAATAAAAGTACTTCTCATATTTTTCAAAATAAATAAAATAGAGTTTTTAATAACTTGGTCTTACATACTTTATAATCCAATTCAATGAAACTTCACTATTTAGGATTTTTTTGCCGCGGAAGATTGGAAAAGAGGATCCCAAAACAAATTAAAAAATCAAGAAAGTTAAGTTTGGGGTCATGTTACATAATTAAATTAGGTAACGATAGCAAAACTATAAGTATCATTAGGTACAGAGAAAATGACTCAATACATATTTTATTTCTTTTTGGTATGTGTTTTACGTAATGATTATCTTTTATATTAATGAACGCGTATAAAACAAGTTAATTTTAAATTCTACTTCCAATCCGTTTGAGAATTTAAAATTGAAATAGCATTAGACCTGCCATAGCCCATATTTAAATGTATTTGAAAAGTAATATAAACGACACTTTTTAGTGTTAATGTTAGATTGACGAATATTAGATATCAATCACAACAATATTTAATTATTGTTTGACAAATTCCACGACTCAACATGCATTAAAATATGTTGACTTTGTACTCTCTTTTCTTAAGTTAATTTTCATTGCAAAAATTCAATACTTTTTTATAGTTAATACTTTTTTAAAATCATATCCTATCTAATATATTTAAGACAAACAATTCAAAAGATGTTGTAATACGTGTCTATTCATACACCTCCTTAATTTTAGATTACAATTTTTCTTTTTAAATTGCATGTGCATCCTTTATTTTAATAACAATTTCTTAAAAAATTGCATGCTCATCCTCAATTTTTAGATTACAATTTTTTAAATTTTTTTTACATGCTCAATACAATTAAGACATATAAAATAAAATAAAATAAAATAAAAGAAACTTTTAAAAAAAGATTCTATAAGCCCATAGGGATGCATTCTCAGACATCGACAATAAAAAATGCAATTTAATACCGTAAGAAAAATAACTTTGAATAGCAATAAATATTAATATTAATAAAGAGTGATAAAATTTTTAGAGGTATTAGTTAAGTATCATTAGAACCAATATTATTAAAAATTTTAGGGACATATACAAAGAGTACTGATGGTTGCTAAAATTATATATTTAACGGCAATTTATGATCATTTTTAATGTGGTGTAATAACAATTGTAGTGGAATAATCACTTATCTTTCATCTTTAATTAGAGATTGAATTTGAGTTTATCAAATATATAGCTGTCATTATTAGAAAATATTGTATACTTGATGTTATGAGACGCCGTAAAACACCAATCGGATTTACTCTTAATGTTAAGCATAAACTAAGACTTGGTTATTATTCCCTTAGTCCCATACTAGTCCATGCTATCAAAACAATTAATTAGTTGTCAATTTTTTAATTCAGATAGAATTAGTTATATACTTTTTATTTTATATTTATAATTATTCTTTTTTGGAATATGAAAGTATATTTGAAAATTTTCTTAAAAAAAATTTAAAAGGTAAATTAGTAAAACTATTTTTTTTTCATTTTTTTCTTAAAAATTGTGCAAAAAATAAATTAAACAATTAATATGTGACGGAGAAAAGTAATTACTATTTGTTGTTTTGTCTATGTTTATGAGAGTACTTTTTTGGATCAAGGTTAGTGATAAACTAGTTGTTTGATTGGAAATAAAAGCACTAAATTGTAGTGCGCCATTAAACAATTTTCTAGAACTTTTCCAGCTTTAATCCATGATTTATCCTCCTAATATATAGGATTAATCTATTCTGACTATATTAAGCTATACTACTAATTACGTTTCAAATTTAAAGTTCTCGCTATTCTTCTTTAATTTTCTTAATTGACAACGTCGCAATTACATGTACTTTTCTAATTATAGACCAGTTGACGTTACATTTTAGATTAAAAAAACAACATCCAATTAGACCCATAAAAAATGATTTATTTTCAACAAATACTAAAAAAAATACCTCGTAAATTTTAACTTCAAAGTCAAAGTAAATATTTAATTTGAAATAGGGATGATCGAATAATAAGACAAACAAAACAAAAAAGTCCCACTCGTTTGAAAGAGTTCCTAATACATTAATTATATGATTTTAAAATTTTCACTCTCGAAAAAGATTATATTAATATATATTTATGTAGCAGTAAATTATCTCATTTTGTTTTGCTTACGGAGGGTCCATACTTAAAATATTTTTTAAAATTATTATTTTTTAATTAATATTTAAAATAATAAAGATATAACTAAAGATAGCTAAAGCGGATATTTTTCATAATTTTAAAAAAATATACGCTAAATAAATTAAAGTACAGTAGAATATACTTTCTATTTAAATATTATTATTGAAGCAAAAACGTCAATAAAAATATGCCTACTTAAAAGTGAAACTCTGTTTTATATAATAAAAGAATACACACTTTCTACATAATAAAATCAAGTAATCAACCCATGGAAGGAGCATTAAAGTTGCATATAACATACATTTTCAATCTAATAACGCACCTAATATAATTGCACGTGTAACATTTGGAGAGAATAGATAATGTATACAGTCTTATTTATTATTTCGAATATAAAATAAATTTAATCTATATATATATATATAAAATCTCATTTAGAATATACGTATTTGAAAAATTCTATTTAGTAATAGATTATTTATTATGGTAAACTATCATTTTTCGTAAAAATAGCAAATGAAGAATGCGTCAATTCATTCCTTCAAAATTTCATTCGATTATATCCCATTACAAATAAAATTTTATTTATAAAATTATTTATTTGGTATAAAATTAATAAAAATACTATTAAGATCAAAAAGTTATTTCGTCAAATTGACTACAAGTATTTCAACTGCTCATCACTTTCCACGCACACGTAATCAAAGTCAATACTTCAAGTCTTCAACTGCTCCAACGACTTTGCTTAATCAATGTTTATTACAATAAATAAATATAACCTTCCCACGGTGTTTCCATATGTGTTTTAATTTCAAATAACACAACCTTATTACCCCCACATTATATATTGTATTGCCTTCATTGTGCCATGAAGCAATAAATAAAATCTGAAATTTAATAAAAATATTTCTATTCTTTGCGTGAGCACTATTTAATCGTGTTTTCGTATAAGCACGATAAAATAAGCACACTATCAATTTGACATATATACATACGAATTGCAATAGTTCTTTTCGTATTCAAGCCATCCGTACATCCGTGTAAAGTTTAAGAGCTGAATACGGCCGGCTGCTGTAGTCCACACCTGATCACCAGTCTCTTTCAAGCTGGGACCTAAGAACTTTTATAAGCAGTACTCAACACGTATCTTTTAAGTTGTGTACGAATTTTAATTTGGAAAAAATTTGCTGTTTAACTTTTCTCACAACTGAATGCGCATCCTTCCTTGATGTTTCTGTTTTCTATGGGATTCCTCTCAAGTTTATGCAGTTGTTTCGAGAAGCGGCAGAAACGCCGCGGCGGAGACGAAGCAGATGACAATGGAGAAGAGTCGTTTAATTTGTTCTATGAGCTCCGCGCTTTGCAAATTGCTACTAACTTCTTCTCTGACCTTAATCAGCTAGGTCACGGAGGATTTGGACCCGTTTACAAGGTACGTACGGCTTATCTGATTTTGATATTTCCTCTACAGGTAACCATAAGCAAAAATAGCACTCGAAATTTACCTCGTTTGGCGTTACTTTTAGGAAATTAATACCGGGCAAAGTTGCTGTCATGGATCTAGGTTCGAGCTGTGTAAACGAAATGCTGCCTAAGACGACCTACAATAGAACCTTGTAGTCCGGCCTTTCCCGCTGAGTATAAGGAAGCTTACTGCAGCTGACTGCTCATAAAAAAAAAGTAAATCCAAATTAGGTATTGAACAGAGTATCCAATTAGGGGAATAATTGGGGTTATTTGGTTGCATAATTGCTACATTTCGCATTGATACTCCTTTTGTGACTTCGCTTCTCCTATTCATGAATCCCTACGTTCTCATTTCGTTCTACTAATGTTTGTATTTAATGGTTTTGAAACTATAAGAAGCTGCACATATTATAAGATTTTTCATGTATAGAAAAGCAATGCGGAGTTTACTTATTAAATTCTCTCATATTTGAATATACTTCATTTTTGTAATTGTTATGTATTCAGAACATATATCTTAAATTTAACAAGTATAATGTTACTTCTTAAGATTGTTGTTTATTTAGAAGTTACAACATATGTTAGAAGAAGGCTATGCAAATTCTCCATTTAGTACCATCTCGGACTCCTGTTGCTTAGGAACTGAACCTGTAAGATGGTATTCATTGATAACTAACAAGTTTTCATACATTAGAAATCATTCTAATCTCATCAGTTCGTGAAAACAAAAAATTTCGAAATTCCACAACTCCAGTTAATAATTGACACAGCTGTCTGACCTAATGAACTTCATATGGTTTATTTCAATGAGGAGATCGGAGTCTATCTTGATTATGTTTCATATACTTTCTTCACAGGGACTGATGCCAAATGGTCAGGAAGTTGCTGTAAAGAAGTTATCAGTAGATTCAAGACAGGGAATAAGAGAATTCACTAATGAAGTGAAACTATTATTGAAAATTCAGCATAAAAATCTGGTTGTTTTGTTCGGATGTTGCATAGAAGGACCTTCAAAGATGCTTGTGTATGAGTATCTGCCAAATAAAAGCCTCGACTGCTTCCTCTTCGGTAAAAAAAAAACACTCATGATGCCGAGAGTTTCTTTAATACCATCAGGTCATCAAAAACTAACAAAGTGTGATTTTTCAGCTAAGGAGAAGTCTCCATCTTTGGATTGGACAAAGAGATTCCAAATAATTACTGGTATTGCAAGAGGTCTTCTCTATTTGCATGAAGAAGCCCCAGTAAGAATCATACATAGAGACATTAAGGCCGGTAATATATTGCTGGACGAGCAGTTAAATCCAAAGATCTCAGACTTCGGTCTGGCTAGGCTGTTTCCAGAGGATGGCACTCATGTAAATACATTTAAAATCTCTGGTACATAGTGAGTATTATTTTTCTTTACTTGTATGTTTTGAACGCAAAGGAGAAAAAAGATTCCTCTGCCCCATTTCCTCCTCCCCTAATTAGCATCTGAGTTGCTTCTACTGAATGCAGTGGTTATATGGCTCCAGAGTATGCATTGCATGGTTATTTGTCCGTGAAGGCAGATGTGTTTAGCTTCGGTGTTTTGCTATTGGAGATCGTGAGTGGAAGGAAGAACAGTGATGGGCGGCTTGGTCCTCAAAAGGCAGACCTCTTAAGCTATGTAAGTTCCAGTCTAGAAACTTAAATATATGAGTATTTGCTGATGTGATTGAGTGTGTTTGGTTCATGAGTTTTGAATCTATTTCCTACTTGAATATGACTAAATACTAAAACAACGCGGGGTTGGAAACCGGATATTCAAAACTTACATTATTACAAACTTCTTGTCATGAGTATCCCAAAAGCAGTACATCTTAGAGCACAGTCTGTCCAACAACTAGTCAACTAGTTTTCATTCATATGCTGAAAAAATGGCTTAATCGAGCTATCGTTCCATATTTCATTTCTAGGAAGGAAAAAGTATCTGCTATTTTACCGTCCACTGTCTGCTATCTTGCTTTGACAAGTTTACTCCTATCGTTATACAGGCATGGGGACTGTTTCAAGAAAGGAAGACTTTGGAGCTGGTTGATTCAAGCCTAGAAGACTATGATGCTGATGAAGCAGTAATGTGTATTCAGTTAGGACTACTATGCTGTCAATCTACTGTTTCAGATAGACCGGACATGAACTCTGTTAATCTCAGGCTTTCAAGTGATTCATTTACGTTACCAAAACCTGGGAAACCTGCAATTCAAGGACGTGTGAGCAGATGGACAACTGACAGTTCTAGTGCCTTTACCAAAAATACTACTACTAATGCTAGTAGTACATTAACTGGCGCGACAAATGCTATTAGTACTACTAGGGCTTCTGGAGGCAGTAGTTTTGTTGAGGATTTTTCTAGAAATTCAATCTCATGTTCCTCTATGAATGAAGGTAGATGACCTCGTTTGTACAGTTAATTTGTAACGAGTTTGTTGTTTACCATTTTTTTATTTTGTATTTACCTGATTGTTTTGATCACCATATGTGCGCGTAGGTTTACTGTATGTAAAATTTGTTCCTAACATTAAAGTGCAGTCTTTTATTCTGTTGTCGTCTACTTCAGATCAAAAGCAAACCTTTATATAGTGTATATATATGTATATATATATTAGACTCACCATCATCTGATTAAATTTAGATTTTAAAAAATGAATATATGGTGATGTCTTGGGTAATACAGTTTTTTTTTCTCTTTAATTTTATGTTGTGTAGAGGGGCTATGACCAATGAGATTCAGAACCAAGATCCAAGAAAGTTGATGCTCGAGTCAAAATGTTTTCTCCCAAGACAATTTTCAATAAACTTAAATAGACGACTTATGTCAGTACTGTTTGTTAATTAAATTGAGTGTAGAAGTAGAAACAAAGTGTACTCCCTTGATAAATTATTGAGACTTTTTTTTATAGTTCAAAATATGTAAATTGTTTTAAGTTCAAAAAAATTATAGACTTTTATGTGTATCATATAATTTAATGAGATTATAACTACATTATTTTTTCTAATATATTTTGTATCATCAACAATCCAATTAATATGGAGTAGGCGGAGTAATGCTATTGGGTGCATGTGGCATGGGTTTCATTAAACAACAAGAACCCACACTGCAGTTAATTATAGCACAGCACCGACGAGCGGAGTCAGAATAAACTATTAACACCCATTCAGTATCAGCCAATCTCATTCTCTCTGCCATTTTCCCATTCAGTCTCTCAACTCTGGCCCTTTCCACAACAAACAAAAACAAAAAAGCCGCTAATTGTGCAAAAGTTCACTAACTGCAAGTCATCACCTCCAAATTTCTTTACTTTTCAAGCTGGAAACTAAAAAAAAGGAACAAAGTCACTTATATAAAAGTTTTGCACTCACACCCACTCGAGAAAAAAAGAATCTTGATCCCTTTCGACCTGAAAATACCACTTTGAACTATTTTTCTTTTTCTTTTTGCTAGTTGCAAAGCATGCCAAATTGGGAGCTGAAGCATTGTTGCAAGCATGAACAAATCGTTTTTCTCGCAACTCTTGGCGTTTGTGCTGTTGTCATTCTTGCAGTACTTACTCTTCTTGTTTCTTCCTTTTTTACATTCATACTCTTACAAATTCAATTAAAACAACCCCTTTATCTTCTAAAAAAAAGGGAACTTTTTTGTATATCTTAACAATAGATCTTTAAACTTGGATCACATTCATACTCTTACAACTTTTTATGTTGTCATTCTTGCTGTACTTACTCTTCTTGTCTTCCACTTTTCTTTTTTTTTTTTGGAAATTTAAGCTGTTATGACTTACTGGTCTATCTGTGACCTTTCCTCTTGGTGACAATCTGTTGGTTCTTTTCTTGCAGCTATGGAGGACAGTGCTGCTACTACCTTTCAAGCTCGTTACCGTGTTTATTCATGAAGCTAGTCATGCCATAGCTTGCAAACTTACTTGCGGACATGTAAAAAATCTCCCCCCCCCCCCCTTTTTTTTTAGCATAAGATACTGTTGATTCATACTTCCTGAGAGTTGATAGTTAAAGACTGATTGTTGTTAGCTAATAAAGTAAAGACTACTTCACATATTCAACAACAATGAGATTGATTATATTTGACGAACTGAAATACAGAATTTACAATAGGAAAACTAAGCAATGAAACAGTAACAAATAAGGGGATGAAATGCCAGAAGAATCGGAGGTGAGAAATATAGACTTTGCCAAAGCACAATACACAATAGACTCTCTTTGCTTGCCTCCGCAGGGGCATATTTGTATGTTAGGTTCATAACAGGTAATATACAATCATAGGTTGCACTGTCGTATTATCATGCTTCATAGCAGAAGTGAGAAAAAGAGTACCTTGAACATATTCTGTCTTCAATGCTTGCTTCAAGTTCCTTATAACCGATATATTTCTGATTGAACTGGGTAACATTCTCTGTTGTTTGTACTAATTGTTATATTAGCTACGCCATTGCCTCTACATCGGGACATATATACCAGTTAACAAATAGTCCCATCTTCAGCCTTAGCCCTTGTGTCATTCGTATTTTAGCTTATTTTGTGATGCTTGTATCACCTGCAGGTTGAGGGAATACAGGTTCATGCTAATGAAGGTGGCACCACACAAACGCGTGGAGGTGTATATTGGTTCATCTTGCCAGCTGGATGTATATTTCTATCACTTCCCTGGTTACATTTTAATCTTATCGACATGAACTATGAACTTATTTATTTACTTCTGTTCGGTTGATTTGCTATGTAAATAATCTTAGAACTAGCATAATGTTCAATATCTTCTTGTGTCTAAATAATATTAGAAACTACTGCAAGATGCCCATGATGAGTTTTCTCTTTCAATGGCTGACGTTAACTCATATCACACTCTTGTTTGGTTTATGGAATCGACTCTATTTTCTCCTTATAGATCTTGGTTCAGCATTTTGGGGAATGGTTTTAGTGCTTGCATCCACCAAGCTCCTTTCAGCAAGAATTGCAGCAGGATGTTTAGTGGTCACTCTAATTGTTGTTCTTTTTGTGGCTAAAAATGTGAGTGACAATCGATTCCCTTAGAGTGTCTCAAACTCATCTTCTCAATGAAATTACATGTATACTTAATGGGAGAGCATCTTGGATTGAAATGACTTCAATAAATTTCCAACTGTATCCTTTGAAAAGGACGAAGTTCTTATTTATTTCGAGCTAGTTGATGTTGGATATTCTAAATGATAATGCTCTTAATATGCATGATTCTACATTGAATTTACAGTACCCTCTTGCTGAACATGTCTCACCTCTTTTGTGCAGTGGACACTCCGGGGCCTTTGTATAGGTAAGATCATTCACTCTGCAAGGTTTTTCGCCATGAGAACTAGACCAAATTGATATTTAAACCTCAAAACCATCAGGGTTTGTTCTCTTCCTTGCTGTTGTATGGATTCTGCAAGAAACAACAAAGATAAAAATTCTGCGGTACATCATTTTGTTCATTGGTAATTTTCAATCCCTTTACCTATGCTAAAGTTTCATGCACCATTGATTTTCTTTTTCCAATGTCTAGACTCATTTTTGACTCATTAAAGTGTTATTGATATGCAGGTGTAATGAACAGCTTATTTTCTGTATATGGTAAGGCTCTGGAGATACACAACTGTTTCACGTATTTCCTCATTTGATAAAACTCTACATTAGCATATTGATGCCTATACATGTATTGAATTGTTGCAGATATATACGATGATCTGATATCACGAAGAGTTAACTCAAGTGATGCTGAGAAGTTCGCTGAAGTGTGTCCCTGTCCTTGTACTGGTGTTGGCTGGGGAGTCATTTGGTGAGCACAACTATTTCCTAAAAGGCATTGAACCATTGAACTTCTTAAATAATACAACTTTTACTGAAGGGGAAGTCACTTGCAGGGGACTCATTTCTTTCTTGTTTCTCTGTGGAGCCACATATCTTAGTTTGGTGATCTTGTCCTAAGGTACGCCTGCCTTAGACCGTTGGTTACCAATCTATTACTTGTTGTCATGTGCTTGGGTTGTCTTCTTTTGTTCTTCCCCGCGACAAAAAATGAAGAAACTATATAGGCGTTCATAGTAAGTGTCCTAAGCAACAGAGTTGCAGGCTGAGGAGCTGGATACTTGACACAACTCAAGGGACTCCCATTCATACAAAGTTCAAGAGCATTCGTGTACCCCTCACGTTGGTTGGCTCCTTACTATTTATGGGACTGTATTTGCCAAATCATCTTTGCAAGCTGGATTACTGCATGCAGCATAACTTACAATACAAACATGTTTGGGTGCGGCGAGAGGAGAATCAGAGTACTATAGTGCTACAATTATAACATTGTTCTATTTCCTTTCTCATACACCAAAAGGAATCTCAGTACATGATACATTTCCTCATGACTTGGTCTCTTTGACATTTGCTGTTGTATACATCAGTTTCATTTTCTTCATAGAACTCTTTAAATATTTTGTTAAGTTTATATTCTGTCAGTGACAATAACATCATTCCTACTAGTACAAGTTACAACGACAACATACCCAGACCCCAATGTAATTTCAAAAGTGAAGCGTACATAAACCTTACTCCTGGAGAAGTAAAGGTAGAGAAGTTGTTCCTCAAACACACCTCAGCTTTTGAGTAACATATTACAAAGTGGGATATATCATTCCTCTTACTTATAAGTTTCATGCAATAAGCATCTGTAATTGTAGACACAAGTCAATCTTCCAAACAAATAGCAGAGATATGCAGAGAGATATATCAGTAAAAGAAGGGATATATCATAAAGAAGGAAGAGAGGGAGGTATCGAATCCCAAAAAGAGATAGAGATGTATCCAAGAAGTGATGCAACCAACAGGAGATTTTCGAATTTTTCTATAAAATGATAAAAAAAATTCCAGAGATTATACTATCCAAAAGATTATGATATAATTATCGACCTAAAATCACCAATACCATGTAAAACCTAATCTAGACAATCAATTGGATCACCAAAGGATACACATGATATTGATGCTAAGTATGCCAATAAAAAATTGCAAGCACCAGATTATGAAACTCTAACAAGACCTTAAATCCTAGGTACAAGAGAGCACATAATGGGAGGAAAGAACAACACCAGATTTAACAAACAAAACGAATAATCTAGAGCATTGCAACAAAGTTTCAATGAGATCCAATAATCGTCTAAATACTGTTCTCTGCCTTCAAAACAAAATTCAAACGCCAAAACTTTATAAAGTAGCCACTAATTTTGTAGTTTTGCAACAAAGAGATCAAACATCACTATTTTGTATCTTCAAGCCTCAGTGATGGGGTACTCGAACACGACATCTTTGCCTGAAAGCTTCCTATAAACTGCAGAAAAAGTCTCCAGCTTGTACTCTGTGTTATTACGCTCCTTGGGGTCCAAGTAGACCTGTCCAAAACAAGCACAACAATGAAGTATTGAGATAACTGTCAAGAGATCGATAAGGTTTTTTCTTTCCAATAGATAGAGCAGAGAGTTAGTTCAATATTTAGAAATGAGCTGTAAAAGTAACTTTCAACTCAAAAGAGCTACTTCTCTTGTAAAAAGTTTCTCATAGCAGGAGTGATTTACTCAAAAAAGTAGCAACAAGATAATTCCAGCAGCCTACCTTCATTATCTTGGATCCATCAACGCGATATCTAGTTCGCTTCCCAACAATCTCTGCAGGGACAACCAAATCCTCCAACATGGCATCATGGACAGAAGTAAGGGTCCTGGTGCGGGGTCGCTGAGCAGCAGAGCCTCTCTTTGGGGGCCTCACTATCCTCCTGGTGGCAATGAAGATCACATCCTACAAGAAAAGGAATTTCAGGAAATGCTAAAAGAAAATGTATCCTTCCTGGAAAAGAGTTGAATGAATGATCTAATCTATTCAACAACCACCAGGAGAATATATGGGACAACTCAAAAATTAAAATGTAGCCACATCGAAAGCAAACTGTCATCCAATTAATAAAGCAAGCAATAGCATAACTTCAGATTCATCCGGTTGTTGGAACGACGCGAGCCGGGCCGGGTCTCGATTCAGAAAGATGAAGGGCCCAAAAGTCTAAATAGGGGGTGAAAAATTCCCCATCTCATTGGGGGCGGAAAACGAATCGACATCTCGATGTGATACAGCCCTTTCGATTTTAGTTGGGAAAGAACGGCGAAGTCCATCCGAACCGTCCAATGAAGAATAAGAGGTACATCAGTTGGTTAATTTATTATCTAAATGTACAGATAGTAGATATTCCTTGGCAAGAATGGTAAAAAGAGGACAAAAAATAGAGTATATGACTAAATTTTGCCTAATCATAAAAGAAAAATTTTCATTGAATCCACCAAGTGAGGTATGCGATATTATATTAGACAAATCACAACATCAGAATTAAGCACAAGTTAGCTATGAAAATCACCATTGTCAAAAAAACTTCTTATTAATATGGAGTATAACAGAATGTCGTTAATTCTGATGGACAGATTCCAAAACATATACTTCTAAACACACACTTGAAGGAAGTAACAGCAGGAAGCATAAACTAAGAAGTGTTTACTGGGTTACCTTTCCACTGAATTTCTTCTCGAGCTCCCTAACAAGCCTGACATGGACCTTGCGGAAAGCTTTCCTCAGTCTGTAAGGAACGTGAATAACAACAGCTTTCCTATTTCCTGACACATCAATTTGACTGCAGCAGCAGTGAACAAAGTAAATACCACAGTGCAGTCGGATACATATTTATTCACTAACAGAATCTGTAAGAAGCACCCTTACACTGCTGAATTGATGTACAGATCCTTCAATTCACTTTTCAGCTCTTGGTTGGTGTTTTCCAAATCAAACAAAGCCTGTTGAGCAAAAGCTTACAATCTTAATTTCACAGACACAAAATTATCAAATGAAGATAAACAATAACAGGAACTATCAAAGGAACAACCAACCAACCTGTCCAACAGACACCTCAAACTCAGATGGTTCAGCATCTTTGTCTTTGTGAATCTTTTGCTTTGATGTGTACATCTTCACAGATCTAATCAATTAACATATTAGAAATTCAGACCTAACAATCACTATATAGCATAGGTAGAAAACAATTGACTAGTCCTCTCTAAGATTTTCTCAAGGATGACGATATAAATCTCTATTCTGATGATACAACACGAACAACTTCGAAACCATACCAGCATTGATATATAAATTACATCCCATTGATTCAACGGGAACGACTTTGAAACCATAAGATATAAAGTTCTATCCTGGTGGTTCGAAAATGAACGGGACTTTTGATACATCAAAGCTAGTCTAGCTGCTTCAATTATTTCATCAGTGAAATTGCAGAAACATTATAATAATACAGATTATTAATACCTACTACTTCAGCAATCAAATGACAGACATCATGTAATTATAATCAAAGGAGTAAAACGCAATAGAAAACATATATATTTCTGAGCATTCTCAGGTATCAAATCCTTCAGTTTACGATGATTCATACTTGCAAGACGCCGCTAAAACGAATTTAAAATTTGGCATAAAATCGAAGAGTGAGTTTGAAGAGGTAAGAATAATGGAGGAGAAGGGTACCTCTGAGCGTTCGGCGACGGCTGACAGATCTGTGAGGGTGCCGGAATCACTTGCTCTGACAGAAGATAAAAACCCTAGGTTTGCAGAGTGAAATGTATTATAAAGATATAATAAACGGGCCGGATGAGACGTTGTGTGGTTTCGATTAATTGGGCCTAATCGAATTAACAGAATTTCAGCCCATTCTTTTTTGTTTTGTATATTTCAAGGCCCAATATTTCTACCTAGCCCATCATGTTTATGGGTCAAAACAAACGGAATAACGGATAAAAAATGGACGTCCCATTTGTCTATAATATAACCTTGGAGTTAGGTAGGTATTAAAAATATACAAATTTATGATGAAAAAGTTTGTCTATTATTTTTTATAAGTATTTTAATTAATAAAAAAATAATAGAAGCATTAGTTGTGCAAAAATACATGTATTACTTTATATAGGATTTAATCATACATATATAAATTATTTCATCTTATATCATGCATAAAATAATACACAAATTTTCTCATAATTTATACATATATTAGTTATACAGATTTTCATTTTGCAAATCAAATATAGTAGGTGATTTTACTGTGTTTAGTTTCATAGCTTTGATGACTTTTAAGTAATTAACTCACATTTGTTATAAAATTCTTTTTTTATTTCTTGTGTAATGTTCAGTATTTATATTGAAGTCCGATTAAAGTTGAATTCAGGTTGAAAAGTCTATATTGGACATTTGTTATAAAACTCAATATTTGTAAGTATGAAAAGAAATGAAAATAGTGTTGAATGAATTTCCATTTCTCTGAATATTATGGCAGCGACGAGAAGTGTATGGAAAAAATGTTTCCATTTGTGGTGAAATTTGGAAAATGGAAACAAAATAGTCAAATTATTTTACAAAGAAAAGTTGTTCCTTTTTATTTTTTCAAAATATTTTTATGCACCAAGTCAACCTAATTCTTATCATCTCATTATTCTTTTACTATTTTGAAAATACTCAATTCATTGCATCCATTTATAAAATTATGGATAATTTCAAAACAATTATAGGTGCAAAAGACCATAAATTTCCTTATAGTTGGTGTTATGTTTAAATGATCTGGTAAGTAATACTCTGAGTCAGTTTCATCTTTTTAAGTTTGTAAGAAATAAATTTTTTTTATGAATCTGAATGTGTATTTTGATTAATTTTATGAAATATCTGTCATCTTTCACCAATAATAAAAATTAACACTTTTGCTAAATATTCTATCAATTCTGACCATTAAATATAACAAAAATGTGAAAAAAAAGATTTAACTCATGATACTAAACACACTAAATATAAGAAATAATTTAACATCGTAAGAATTATATCTTCTTTCTTCAATTAAAAATTCTTGTTCAATGATGAGATTGAATTGTTCCAAAGTTTAGACTCAGTCATCCACTAAGAATTAATAGTAATTATTACTCTCAAATGTTTCATACTTGTATACATAACAGACCGAAGAAAAAGAAGAAAAATGCAAGTTTTTCAATTCTTTAATGGGCTGCCGGAAATATCTTCCTCCTTTGATATTTTTATGTTTCAAATTTTTTAATCTGTTTCTTTTCTTCAAAATAAGTTAAATATATAAAAGTATCTTATATTTCGATAACTTCAACAAACTAAACAACAATAATAATACATTAGAGAAATATTTTTATTTAAAAATACAAAAAAGAAAAAAAACTCCTAGAAATAAATTTTATTTTCCCTTCTTTTAAGACTTATTAGATCTTAAAATAACCCAACGATATTTAATTTAAAAAATTTATAAAAGGGTGATCTACTTGTCTTATTAAGGTTATGTTTTATTTTTATTTTGAAAATCTGTTAATTTAATCATTTGTCATTAATCTGTCTGTTCTTGGTGGACACTGCCTTTTGATTAAAAAAAAACTTTTTTTTCTTTTGATTAAAAAAACTTTTATTTTTAATCTGTTTTTTTTTTGGTGGAATCTCAAGATTTTCTAAAAATGTTGGAGTGACTTCATTTAGCTGTAAAAGTTGTTGAAAATAAGAGATATTTTCTTTTAGTTTTAAAATTGTTTTTAGGCCTAAGACATCGATAGCCCCTTAAAGTTGTCCGCATAATTCATTTAGACATCTCAACTGAGATTCTTACCTATTAAACACTTTAATATTAATAAATATTTATCTATTGAACATAAAATAACAACTATCTTTACAAATATTGTGCGTGTAATGCACACTTTTTATCTTGACAAAAAGTACGAATAGAACTACGACACGTGGCACATGGGCCCATTAATTTAATTTTAAAAAATAAAGAATATTTTCCTTCATTTAATAATATATAAAAAATTAAATTAATTAAAAAAAAATCTTTCCCCTCACCCTCTCCCTCACCCCCACCTAACCCCATCCCATCTAACTTACTGTCATTTTTTCTTCATCTTATTCTCTTCTTCTTCTCTTCTTCTTCTCTCTTGTTCCATAATCACCATTCCACTTCATAACAAAAAAAAAATGCCTAACCCCATCTTATTTCGAATTCATCCACCAAATGTTTTTCTCTTTCATTTTCTTCATTATATGTTATTCCTTTGACGACTATTTCGATTTTATAAATATAATCGACCTTG